TTGTGTATTAAAGGTTGTACAGAGGATTTTTTTTTTTTAAGTTTCAAATTGTCACTGAAAGTTTAAAACACCATTACAGAGACTCAGCAGTTGTAATTATGATGACCAAAAAATAAATAAATAAATGAAAATCTATCAACTGTGGACGTAGTGAGGCCAGATAAACATCAGCCAATAGAAAACAAGGCTACCTCATTTTCTATTGGCTGTTAGGTTGTCAATCAAACTTCCTACGTTTCTAGTGTCACTGACACTGATGCGCGGGGATTACGTGGTTTATGCAGCGGTTCTTAGAGGCTTTTTCAAACTGTCGGAAGACAGTAGGAAGAAGGGCAATAACGTCTTTCCCCTTGATATAATTCACCAAACATTCTCTTTGTCCAACTTTAAATCCTAGATCTTGGGAATCGTTGCCAACACAGAATGTCTGTCATCGTCTACATCCATCTCGACGCTTTGTTTACTGTTGTGCTGTACCACAAAAGGGACCCAGACAGGCGCTAGAGTTTGACGTCATGGCTTCACAGCTCTTCGCTGATTGGCCGGTGTGCGGTCTACAACTTCTGGGGTTCTTGCAAATCGTCTAGTGTATTCTGATTCCTGACCTAGTTGCTGGAGAGAAATGAAATTGAGCGGAGGCACTAGGTGACACCAGCCTGATTATTGCAGTCCAGCCCTAGTTCATAAACCAAACTGGCATATTAACTGAACCGGTACCGACTGAAACGATATCTTGGAAACAATATCCAAGATTCAATAATGGCAGCAATATCTGATACCAATATTGTGTCAGTGTGTCCCTAAACAAAAGAAAAGAAACTAAAACATGAGTGCACAGAAGCTCAGGGCTCCAGAACTTTGACCTCTTGTAGCCTGATACTTTTATTATCAGATTTGACTCAGTGCAGCCTGAGAGTAACTCTGAGTAACTCTGAGCAGAGGAAGTCTCCCGATGAACCCCGGTGGAGTTCACACTGAGCAACACGACTGACACAAGCTTTATCAACTGCTTCTGAATCAGGAAAGTGAGCCACTGGATTACATCAGAAGTAAAAGTCCCTCCCTGAACATTGTTTGTCATCAGCAAAATCAATGATTTACTCAACAGATTCCAGACTCAATAAGACACAGTGTTGTAATCTTCAGTTGCATCACAGGCTCTGATGACCCACTCCCTTTTATTGAAAAAACAACAAGATGGGAACAAGAAGGTGACAGGTGAGCTCAGTGTTAATCTAAACTTCTATTGCAACTTATAAAAATGATGTCTGCACACAAGCACACAGTTCCACCCAAAAAAATTTGCATAATAGTGGTTTCACGTGAGCCTCTTTTCTAGTGCCACGTGGTTTGGGGCCTGGTCCTGTTTGGTGCAGCTCCCTCCAGCCCAGTGGTGTTTCTAAGCTCTGGGCACCGGGCTCTGATCCGTCATTGGTTCCCAAACGGTTCCCAAGTTTTGTTTTGGCTCAATTTATAATATGACGGTTTATTACAAGATCAAGTTGGCGGTTGGTCCGAGATTCTTATTTTGTGTTTTTATCTGCTTTTTGCCGTTTTGAGTCTGCGTTCTCTCTTGTCTAATCGTCTTGTTTCCTCTTGTGCAGCTACGCCTCAGATAAAGTGAGCCGCGCTGGCCCCCTGTGGGAGATGGTACCTCCCCGGGTCTGTTTTCCCTTCAAACGGAGCAGTTCACTTTAGACCATCGTTTCCCAAAGACTGGTTCGCGAAAAAAAAGATTTTTTGGGGGGGGTCGCCTTGTCATGATCTACATGTAGATCTGCAATATTCAGTTCTGACACGTGATAGAGCGAGTGAATCTCCTGTCCTCAGTAGGGCCACTGTTTTTCAATGATTTTTCCTTTCACTACTTCATATATGTGTGAACTGGGATTTTCTGTGCTCAAAAAATGAAGACAAAGCACAGAAACAGACTGAATGTTGTGCCTGATCTGCTGTTGCGCTCTCCTCCTGCAACACGGACTGGAACGAGCTACAAAAACACAGACAGGCCCAACTATCTCATTAGAAATGTTGAAATATTAAGACGTGCTTTGTGTAATTTCTAATATTTTTGTAATTATTTTACTGACTATTTTGTTCTAATATTGTTGGTTCAATTGAATGTTGAAAAGAAAAAGAAATGGATCCTTTTATTGCTGCTTCAATTCCTGTTTTTTATTGTTTAAAACTTGAGTAATAATAATTGTTCAGAGAGACACAATCACTCAGTCAACAGTAAAATATCCTCATTCATGTTCAATAATCCACCTTTATTTTTTAATTTATGAATAATGTCTATTGACTTGGATCACGAAGGTTTGTGAGTTTTAAAATATGGGTCCCCCCAAAAAAAGTTTGGGAAACTCTACGTAAGACCGTGGAGACGCCTGCTGCCTGTACCTCTCATTTTTATCAATATTGAAAGGTAAAGAAACAACTATTTTTGTGTTGAAAATTATATTCTGCTGTGTAAAAACATGTTATTGTGATTATTGTCGGACTGTGAATCTCATCTTTTCCATAATTTCCACATAAAGTTTGAAAATGTTCAGCGCCGGGACCAAGCCCCAAATCAAAAGTCTAAAACTGTCATAATTATTTAAAGTATTTCTTGCTCAAAGAAGAAAGGAATAAAATGATTGTGTCAGTGTGTCTCTGGTTCACTGTGGCATTTGTGTTTTACCCTAATTAACAAGGCAAATCAAACACTTTGCATCAGGGCTGGTCAGGCCTGTTCTATAAATAGACTTAAACCAGACACACCTGCACAGGGGAGCACACAAGAACAGAACAGATAAATGATGGACTACAGGGTTCTCAGGTTTAGTCCTGGTTTAGTCCTGGTTTAGTCCTGGTTTAGTCCTGGTTTAGTCCTGGTTTAGTCCTGGTTTAGTCCTGGTTTAGTCCCGGCTGAGTCCCAGCTGAGTCCCGGTTTTGTTTCATGTTTTGTTTCATGTTTTTTTTTTCAGGTTGAGTTCAGATTTTACTCCCAGTTGGGTCCCGGTTTGTGTCCCGGTTTGAGTCCCGGTTTGAGTCCCGGTTTGAGTCCCGGTTTGAGTCCCGGTTCAGTTTCAGGTTGAGTCCCAGTTGAGTCCTGGTTAAGTCTCGCTTGAGTCCCGCTTGAGTCCTGGTTTAGTTCCAGGTTTAGTTCCAGGTTTAGTTCCAGGTTTAGTTCCAGGTTTAGTTCCAGGTTTAGTTCCAGGTTTAGTTCAAATTTTACTCCCAGTTGAGTCCCGGTTTTAGTCCCGGTTTTAGTCCCGGTTTTAGTCCCGGTTTTAGTCCCGGTTTTAGTCCCGGTTCAGTCTCAGTGTGGCCCCAGTTGAATCCAAGAGGAGTCCTGATTGAATTCCAGTTCAGTCCAGGTTTAGTCCAGATTTTGTTCTAGTTTTAGACCTAGTTTGTCCCCGGTCTTGTCCCCGGTCTTGTCCCCGGTCTTGTCCCCGGTCTTGTCCCCGGTCTTGTCCCCGTCTTGTCCCCGGTCTTGTCCCCGGTCTTGTCCCCGGTCTTGTCCCCGGTCTTGTCCCCGGTCTTGTTGAGAGTTGAGTCCTGGTTTAATACCAGGTTTTAGTCCAGGTTTTAGTCCAGGTTTTAGTCCAGGTTTTAGTCCAGGTTTTAGTCCAGGTTTTAGTCCAGGTTTTAGTCCAGGTTTTAGTCCAGGTTTTAGTCCAGGTTGAGTTCAGGTTTTACTTCCATTTGAGTCCTGGTTCGAGTTCCGGTTCGAGTTACGGTTCGAGTCCCGGTCCGCGTATATGTGATGGATCAGGGTCCACTGGTTTCTTTCTCCATTTTAACCAACAGAAAGAAATCTAAAATAAATCTTATTGCTTTGCCTGATTATTCCGCAGTATGGCATTAAACATATCTGTTACCATGGAGACAAACACATGACACCACCAGGCCAAGTTACAGGTCAGATCTGTGGAGTGGCGACCCAGTAAACCACAGTAAAAGTCAACGCCTGGTTCCTGGTATTTTTAAAGCAACAAAAGCAGAAGCAAATGTATAAATGCAAGAAAGAGGTGAATCAGAGTTGACGTCTCCATGGAAACAAACACAAGTGTGACGGCCTCTCGACCAGAAAAGTTACACAGTGTAGCTTTAAAGGTTTTACATTGTGCAAAATTGACTCTTGTGAGCAGTTTCCTCATCAAACACATTCCTGGAGTCGTGTTTTGTTTCATTCACACATGTTTGAGTAACTCTTTATGATTAGTCTGTCTCCATCTCCAAAGCTCAAAACGCTCTGCTCCACCTTGTGATGTCATGAAGTAGTAGTTTTCACGTATCACGCTATCACACTTATGAATAAATTGTAATCTATTTATCTATCAATTTTAGTATGTTTGTCTTGGAAAAATCATGTGTTTTTAATATTTATTGTGATTTAAGTCAAGCGTGGTGAATAAATTTAACTAATTGCTGATGGAACAAACCATTCTGCACTGGAGTTCTGCAACACTTCATTTTGTAACTGTGTTTTTTACGTGTTTATTGATGAGTGAAATGTGAAATGTGGGGACCAAACTTGGGAAACAAATTCACCTACGGGTACGAATAACGCAACCTAACCTAACCTAACCTAACCACCCTATGAAGGAGTGTGGACTTTAAAAACACAGCGGAGAACTTCGTGTATTCGCCTACCGCATGACATCACGAGGTGGCACAGAGTTCGTTTCCAGTTTGGGGCAAGAACTCAGCCTAAATACGCAGGGGTTTTGTGTTAAACGCGCGTGAATGAAACAAAACACAACCCCAGACGTGTTTTTGATGAGAAATATTATAAAAAAATAGATCAGAAAATATCGTAATATGGGCCCTTTAAAAGAAATGATCAACCACAACAAACAGCCCTTGACACTTCCATTGTTCCACAGCACTGCCTTACCTCACCCAACCTAAAAACTCATTATAAAACAATCAGGAGGCTAAAAAGTTGAAGGAAATGTGCAGTTTTTGCTGGATTAAAAGGTGAGGCCGGATGCTCAGGTGGGTCTTACCTTGAGGGGGGCGTTGAGGAGCTTGTGTATCCCCGCGATCTGCACACTCAGAGGCAGGTCCTGTTCCACCTCCACCAGCGGAGGTCTGCGGGGCTCGGGGAAGTTGGTGCACACGAACGGGTCCGAGTCCTCCAGGAACTGCACCCGGCACGTGATGGGAGCCATGGCCGCGTGTGCGCAGCCTGAGAGCGGCGTGAAGAGAGACGAGAGCCCGGTGTCCGTGTGTGTCTGCGCGCGTGAGTCTCCGCCGCTGGAATAAGAGTGAGTCTGCTGAAGTAAACTCCGCTCTGACTGCAGCTCTGCGTGAGGGAAATGAAACTAGAGAAAGGATTAAAGAGCGCATCCGGTTTGGCTTTTCAAAATAAAATGCCAGAACTGAAAGATAAACTGATTATCTGCTCTTACACTGTAAAGAACTAAATCTAGTCAAGTTTTTCGGGGTTTTTTTTCATACAAGTCCTGGTTTAGTCCTGGTTTAGACCTGGTTTACTCCCGGTTTAGTCCTCGATTCATTCCTGCTTTAGACCTAGTTTAGTCCTGGTTTAAACCTAGTTTAGTCCGGGTTTAGACCTGGTTTAGTCCTGCTTTAGACCTAGTTCAGTCCTGGTTCATTTCTAGTCTAGTCCTGGTTTAGTCCTCGGTTCATTCCTGCTTTAGACCTAGTTTAGTCCTGGTTTAGACCTGGTTTAGACCTGGTTTAGTCCTGGTTTAGACCTAGTTTTGTCCTGGTTTAGACCTGGTTTAGTCCTGGTTTAGACCTAGTTTAGTCCTGGTTTAGTCCTGGTTTAGACCTAGTTTAGTCCTGGTTTAGACCTAGTTTAGTCCTGGTTATTTTTGGTTTAGACCTAGTTTAGTCCTGCTTTAGACCTAGTTTAGTCCTGGTTTAGTCCTGGTTTAGACCTAGTTTAGACCTGGTATAGACCTAGTTTAGACCTGGTTTAGTCCTGCTTTAGACCTAGTCCAGTCCTGGTTTAGTCCTGGTTCATTTCTACTCTAGTTCTGGTTTAGACCTCGGTTCATTCCTGCTTTAGACCTAGTTTAGTCCTGGTTTAGACCTGGTTTAGACCTGGTTTAGTCCTGGTTTAGACCTAGTTTAGTCCTGGTATAGACCTAGTTTAGACCTGGTTTAGTCCTGCTTTAGACCTAGTTTAGTCCTGGTTTAGACCTGGTTTAGTCCTGGTTTAGACCTAGTTTTGTCCTGGTTTAGACCTAGTTTAGTCCTGGTTTAGACCTGGTTTAGTCCTGGTTTAGACCTAGTTTAGTCCTGGTTTAGTCCTGGTTTAGTCCTGCTTTAGACCTAGTTTAGTCCTGGTTTAGTCCTGGTTTAGACCTAGTTTAGACCTGGTACAGACCTAGTTTAGTCCTGGTTTTGTCCTGGTTTAGACCTGGTTTAGTCCTGGTTTAGACCTGGTTTAGACCTGGTTTAGTCCTGGTTTAGACCTGGTTTAGACCTAGTTTTGTCCTGGTTTAGACCTAGTTTAGTCCTGGTTTAGTCCTGGTTTAGACCTAGTTTTGTCCTGGTTTAGTCCTGGTTTACACCTAGTTTAGTCCTGGTTTAGACCTGGTTTAGTCCCGGTTTAGACCTGGTTTAGTCCTGGTTTAGACCTGGTTTAGACCTAGTTTAGTCCTGGTTTAGACCTAGTTTAGTCCTGGTTTAGTCCTGGTTTAGACCTAGTTTAGTCCTGGTTTAGACCTAGTTTAGTCCTGGTTTAGTCCTGGTTCAGTCCATCTATGGCACAAAAGTTCAGCATCAGTATTTTGTTGAAAGTAACTTAATCTAGCCAAGTTAAGTTAAGTTTTATCATGATCTTTTCGCTTGACAAGTAAAACTATCTGCCAGTGGAAAAAGACCTTTTGTACTTTAAATATGAAAATACATCTTGTTACACTTAATGCACTTAAAATAAGAAACAAAATCTAATGTTGCTTGAATTAGGCAAATGGTAGAAATATGTAGGCCTATTTATGTTAATTGTCAGATTTGTTGTTGTTGTTGTTTTCTTTAAATTGATGCCAACAAAATTATAAATAAATAAATAAATACATAAATAAAAAAACACACTTATTCCATTGGTAGATTATTTTACTTGCCAAGTTGGATTGACTCAAATAAAGTGAAATGTTCTTAATTTAAGTCATTTTAATTCAGCTCGATGTTGTTGTTGTTGTTGTTGTTTTTCCCAGTGTATTGTTAGTTCTATAACATCAACATCAATTCAAGGTAAACACGTTGCCAATCACATCTATATAAAAGTGTTATGTAATTGGCCTGTCAATGCAAAAGCTTCCGAGTCACATACAGCCTTTTGTTTGACTCTGACCGGCCCCTTTAAGCTCTTTTGGAATTACAAAATAAACAGTTTATAATTTTACCTCATGCATGGTTAAAGCTGTGTTACTTTTACTTTAGAAATGTTTTTTTAAATGACATTTTTTGTAAGATAACCTCACTTTTTCATCGCTGAGTCATAAAATAATCTCTTATCAGTCTGAGCAGCGCGTTAAAACAATGATATTTACGGCTTTTTATAAAGAAATAGAATCAATATTATGCAGAATTGAGTTGGAAAAAATCAACTTTTTCTATGAGCTGTAAAGGGGCACTCTAAAACTCACTCTAAAATCTTTGTCCAGTTTTTGCAGAATTTAATTTGGCTCTGGAATCTACAAGGACGTCTCACTGACACTGTCTCTATTTCTCTGTTTCTCTTGCCCAATAGTTTAATGTTTAATGCCAATAATAAAGCCATAACACCTACATGGCAACAATATCCCAAAGCAGAAAAGTGACATAGTTCTTCTTTTTCAGTTTTTGCCCTGTCCCCACTAGAAACCTCATTTCAGATACACAAGAAGGCATTTCAGACCTTTTATAATACATTATGCCAACATAAAATGCAGCTATTCCAACTGGCCACGCTATAAAAGATGAAAAGACAAACTACTTTTTAGTCTCATCCCCAAAAAATGACTCACCTAAATTAAACTACGGTGACCAAATGTCCCTATTTACCCAGTACAGTCCCAGGTTTGAGCTCTGTGTCCCCTGTCCCAGCAGATTTATCCAAAACCAGTGATTTGTCCCAGTTTTATACAAGAAATGTCCCAGGTGTCCCTATTTTTGACCAATTTGATCCCTGCCAACAGTAAAGAGAGGCATAAATTGTAATTTGTTTTGGTAAATTACAAGAAAAGCTGCTTAAAAATGACCAAAACACAAAGAAAATGTGACTCTACTGACAATTTTACTTAATTACACACTCACTTCAACATTTTATTATTACCAACCACCAAAAACCGGCGATATCCCAGTTTTCTTTTGTTTTGAACACATTTACTTTGAGTAAACGTCCCAACTTTGAGCAAACCGAATCGACAAAAGCTTCAAGGAAAATGAAGAAATCAGTTAAATCACTTAAAATCAGCTAAAATTCATTGTCAAAATCACTACATTTCATCCTTTGTCTTTCCTTGTTCTAAAACTCTCTGCAAAATACTTTTACTTTTTAACTCTCGAAGTACATTTTTAAACAGGTACTTTAATAATAATTATACTTCAGTAGAGTTTTTTCCATGTGATACGTTTACTCGAGTAACTTGAGATACTTTTTACCGTTGAATCTGTACTTTAACTTTTTTTAAGTAACAAAATTGTTTACTTCTTCCACCACTGGGATTAAAGACTATTCTCTTTTTTCTCACTCTTCGCTTATTTATTTATTTATTTATTATTTCTATGTCTCTCTCTCTCTTTTTTATTTTGTATTTTTATGATGATTATTTCGTTTTTTATTTTGAAATTCTAGTCCATCTAACCTAGTCGCGTATCGTAAACCTTTGCCTTTATTTTGTAAGTGTTTTTCTCTCACTTCCTGTTTTGTCTCCGTGCTCTTGACGTCTCTCGGCTCACGGTGACGTCAGGTGAGTCACGCACGGACGGAACGAGCCGGAGAGGCGCGCGCGAGCTGGTCCCGGGTCAGATCCGCAGCTCCACGGGAAAAAAGTTCACGACGACACGACACGAGCCACAGCAGTGAGTCACAGAACAGAACTAAAGTGATAAATACAAACAAAGTCAGACTTTAAAACTCAGAGCCGAGGAGGAGGAGGAACTCAAGACTAAGTAAAGTCTAAAAGTCTAAAAATAATAATAATACTCAGAAATGTCCTACTGATTCTGAGTAAAAGGTTCCAGTATAGTTACTTTTTCATTTCATGGCGTTCAGAAGCAGTGTTGGGAGTAACGCGTTATAAAAGTAATTTTCGGGGTTTTTTTTTTTGTTTTTTTTTTTTCATACAAGTCCTGGTTTAGTCCTCGGTTTAGTTCTGGTTCAGTACTGGTTTAGACCTGGTTCAATCCTGGTTTATTTAGTCCTGGTTTAGTTTAGTCCTCCTGGTTTAGTCCTGGTTTTAGTTTAGTCCTGGTTTAGTTTACCTGGTTTAGACCTGGTTCAATCCTGGTTTAGTCCTGATTTAGTCCTGGTTTTCTAGTCCTGGTTCAGTCCTGTTTTAGACCTAGTTTAGTCCGTCCTGGTTTAGTCCTGGTTTAGACCTGGTTTAGACCTGGTTTAGACCTGGTTCAATCCTGGTTTAGTCCTGATTTAGTCCTGGTTCAGTCCTGGTTTAGACCTAGTTTTCCTAGTTTCCTGGTCCTGGTTTAGACCTGGTTTAAGACCTGGTTCAGTCCTGGTTTAAACCTGGTTTAGTTTTCCTGGTTTAGTCCTGCTTTAGACCTAGTTTAGTCCTGGTTTAGTCCTGGATTTAGTTTTTCCTGGTTTAGACCTAGTTTAGACCTGGTTTCAATCCTGGTTTAAGTCCTGGTTCTGTCCTGGTTTAGTCCTTTAAAATGTAAAATGTATTTGTTCTAAAAATCTCTGCATAATACTTTTACTTCTTACTCTTGAAATACATTTTTAAACAGGTGTTTTAATACTTTTTCAATGTGATACTTGAGTAACTTTTTACCTTTGAATCTGTACTTTTACTTAAGTAACAAAATTGAGCACTTGTTTAGCTGCATATGACTGAAAGGTCTCGTTTTTTGATTTTATGTTCAAATATTTATATTTTGATTTGTTTGTATTGTGATTTTAATGTATTTTTTATACTTGTGAAATCAGTACTGCACCTTCAGATTTCTAAATGCTTTGTGCTGAGTCAGTAAAAGTATTACGCTATTTTCTGATCTCTGTTTTAATGTTTTGTCATGAAAATCTAACCTGGAGTTGTGTTTTGTTTCATGTTTAACACACAAACCCTGCAGATTTAGGTTGAGTTTTTCTCTCAGTAC